CGACTAGCACCTTGAAATGTGTCCAGAGACCAATGGGAAGCCAGTGCAGCTCGCGGAGGATAGGTGTAATGTGGGTGTACCTAGGTACATATGCTCTTTGTGCTCATGTTGAATCCTAGAACTATACGGAAGCACAAAATTATATTCTCTAATACTCCCCTAAGCTGCTAATTGCATGCAGAAATTCTGTTACAAATCATAATTTGAATGCAAAGTATTACTATAGTGTTCTCTTTATTTTGCACGTTAGAACTTTAAGTTCAGGTCTTTTTTAGTTGTAAAAATGTGTTCAATATACCATTCCTAGTTGTTCACCTTTCATCTCATGTTTAACAATACCAAAGCTATTAAAATGCCTGTAACCCACGCAGTCCAAGCCAGCAAATGCTATTCTGCCAATTTCCAATTTCTCTTAAGCTGTCAAGCCATGCATTTGGAAAATCCCAATCGATGATTTATAGATACCGGATTATTTTTAAACTTTCTTACAACTGGTAGTAATAAATGTCTAGCTCCCCAAAATTATTTTAACTCGGCAAATAATTCAAACCGAAGAGCTCAAGAGCATGTGGAACCAATTCTACCCTGAGCTCCATCGTTTCAGAGGAGAAATTGGAATTTGTGTCATGCTAAGACAAATCCATTTTGATTTATCCAGCGTGCCTTTTGACAAATCGCTTTGGCGGGTTACCAGGCCCTCATTCCAGCTGCTTTCCTTTCCTTTCCATATTTAGCTGCAGGTTAGATCGCTTTGGTCCTTTCCTGAAACTCAGCACTTCCTTGTTTTCCTACTGAAAGGCTGAATATTAATGGGCTAGTGCACAAGTTCCGTGACTTGCCTCCAGCTTATAACTTATCCATTCTAAAATATGAAAAACAATGTTCTGTAGTGACACAGCATATTTAAGATATTTGCTGGCAAAAGAAGAGATGGACACTTGCTGTATCTCTTCTAAGATAGCACTACCTATAGTACAAATACTACTACAAGTAGTGCTTGACAACTTAAGCCCAAAATGTCCTAATGTGACATTCCTAAAAGTCACATAGAAGGATAAAAGTCGCTAACCTCATCAGGTGAGGATCTCCCTGCCAGGGGTGGGCTTCAAAAACTTTAGCAAGGAGTTTCCTGCCTGGTTGCTGGGTGGGCGTGGCCGTAGTGGGCATGGCCTATTCGGGCTCCTGCACCATGGCTGGGGAGGGGTTGCCCTCCCTAGGCTCCAGAGGCTTTGTTCAAGCCTCCGGCAGGGTGAAAATGGTCTCCACAGCCTTCGGAGGCCCTCTGGAGGCTGGAAACTCCTAAAATTCCGGCAGGCCTTTTTTTCACCCTCAACAAGCCTCTGCACGCACCCTGCACTCCAAAACGGGCTGCATGGGGACTCCTGGGAGGGGAGGGGAGGGTGGGGCCAGCCAGCAGTTGGATTTGTGGGTTCTCCGGACTGCACAGAATCTTAGCTAGAAGTTATTCCAAACCCCTGCAAACCCCCAACTGCCCATCCCTGCTCCCTTGCTTATAAAGGAAGCTTTTGAAGGTGGTTTATTTGGCTATTCTGTAAACTTCCTCTTTGGACTGGAAGGATGATCTCTTTTTCCTTCATCTTTACAATGATTCTGCAGGTGGTGAAGCTGAAAGGCCAAGTGCTCTCTGTGATGTATCGCTTTCGTACCAAGAACCGGGAATGGATGTTAATCAGGACCAGCAGCTTTACATTTCAGAACCCCTATTCGGATGAGATTGAGTATATCATCTGCACCAACACGAATGTCAAGTGCGTCCTTTAAACGCTAAGGAATGCCTTCCTTTCTCAAAAGTAGTTTTGTTTTAGAATGAGGGCTTCATTTTCATGTTACCTTCTCTCTCTGTGTGTGTATGTGTCTGTGTGTGCTTTGAGCACAAAATTACACAACAGATCCTAAGAATTACTGTGCACATAGGCAGGAGTGTCACAGCGGTGGGATTCAAAAAAATTTACTACTGGTTCTGTGGATGTGGCTTGGTGGGCATGGCAGGGGAAGGTTACTGTAAAATCCCCACTCCCTCCCGATCAGCTGGGACTCGGGAGGCAGAGAATAGATGGGGGCGGGGCCAGCCAGAGGTGGCATTTACCGGTTCTCTGAACTACTCAAAATTTCTGCTACCGGTTCTCCTGAACTGGTCAGAACCTGCTGAATACCACCTCTGGAGTGTCTGCTTGGGGTGGGGTAAGGGGAGGGAATAAAAACAATCAAAGTAGTAGGTCCAACCACACAACCGTGTCGAGACCCCATGAGTGTTGTGTGACGACATGGGTTGGCTGCCTTCTTGACTTTTTTTTTCACCCGTATTACAAGAGTGAGTTTGTCTGAGCCAATTCAAACACAACATAGCAATCAACTCTGCCTTGTGGTTGACTGGATTCCCCTGGGTCTCTGTGCTTAAAAGTGTGCTGGACCCAGGAATTTAGTTTGGAGATATTCTCTCGATCCGCAATTGTGAACAGATACTCTGCACCTGCTAACCCAAAGGTATCTAACTCACGTCGTCATGGCGGCATCACTTGATGTATATCGGGACTTTTGCCCCCTTCGCTAAACCGGGACGTGGACATGGTCAGCACATGACACATCCGGTCCACAGGCTGGGAATTTGACAGCCCTGTCCAAATAGCAATAGCAATAGCAGTTAGACTTATATACCGCTTCATAGGGCTTGCAGCCCTCCCTAAGCGGTTTACAGAGTCAGCATATTGCCCCCAACAACAATCCGGGTCCTCATTTTACCCACCTCGGAAGGATGGAAGGCTGAGTNTGTTGTTGGGGGCAATATGCTGACTCTGTAAACCGCTTAGAGAGGGCTGAAAGCCCTATGAAGCGGTATATAAGTCTAACTGCTATTGCTATGTCGCCGACTTTCTTGAAGAGGCAAAGTGTGGTCTTGGCACTGCAGACATCTTTACGCCTTAAGTACAAAAGCCAAACATTACTTAGGGGTTGCAGAAATGGGGAGAGGAAGAACACATAATCTGCTAATGGTGCAGCTGTCAAAATAAGACTGCGGTTCCGAAGGATTCTTCGCGATATGTAGAGAACCAAAAGGCTTTGGCCCACGCCACGCTGGGAGGTCAACAGCCAGGGAAACGTCACCGCAAAGAAATCAGGAAGAGCGTACATGATGAACTCTTCTCTCCCCAGGAAGTACATAATCCAGCTGGAAGCCCGAGCCCTTCTCCTTCCTTAGGGTGAACTGGTTGACCTGGGTTCAGTTCTCGGGGAGAACATTGAGCATGGTGGGACGTGCTTCTTTGCTTGAGAAGTGCATCTGGCACACTGTGGGGGTTGAGAGAAGAGTTCACACAAGATCAGTCTGGTTCAGAGCCCATTTCGTCATAATACCCTCCGTGCTCGCATGGCTTTCTCGGCTAGCCAAGATCTCGCTCCCTGCTGCCAAAAAGTTGGGCTGCTGCTGAAAAACTCTTCATAATAGGCGCTCCTTTCTAATCTAACCCATAGATTTTTATCCCAATGACCGTATTCCTCTGCAGCAGCTTTCTGGGAAATGTTCAATCCTGTTTGCAGGTGCATTCAGGCAGTTTGGGGTCTGCTTTTCAGCAGAATTATTCGCACTGAATGGAGTTCCTTAGTATTTTTAATCTTTTGCTTCCGGTGTTCTGGTGGTTTTGAGCAGTTTGGAAACACAGCCTGGCCTTTTTTTAATATTATTTAAATGGTCTTGGATGCCAGACCTTCCTTTGTCCTCTCTGATTGCTTGAATGATTGTTTTAATGGTGGGATCTAATTTTTTTTACTATTGGTTCTGTGGGCATGGCTTTTTGGGTGTGGCATGGATTTGTGGGTGGGGCAGGGGAAGGATCTGCAAAATCCCCATTCCCTCCCCACCCCACTAACCTGCTTTCCAGCTCCGTCCTCATGTTCAGGGCAACAAAAGAAGATCAGCTGGGGGGCAGTAGGGGCATGGCCAGCCTATTTGCTGATTCTCCGAACTACTCAAAATTTCCGCTACGAGTTTCCCAGAACCTTTCAGAACTGGCTGAATACCACCTCTGGATTGTTCCCATTTGAGATCCATACCATTCGATCTTCTCTTCAATGTTGCATCCAGTTATAAACTGTTATGCAGTTTTCTTGCACAAGCGCCAATAAAATCCTTTCTTATAAACTGTATTTTGATGACTTCCCCTCCACCCCCAGCCATTTTTATGCAATAAAGCATGTGTAAATTATGTTTCTCAGGTGACCAGTTCGCCAGTGTGCATGGATATGAATGGAATGTCAGTCCCCACAGAATTCCTATCCAGGCATAGCTCAGATGGAATAATTACCTTTGTGGATCCAAGATGCATCAGTGTTATTGGCTATCAGCCGCAGGTCTGTTCATTCTTTTTGCCTAAGTCGCCAAATATTCAGAGTTTGCCTCTGAATATTTTTTTAAAGAGATCCAGAGCTAGAAATGGAGGGCTGGGTTCTCAAGGGAGAGGGGGGGAGGGAGGGAGGGAGTGAAGGAAAGGAAGGAAGGAAGGAAGGAAGGAAGGAAGGAAGGAAGGAAGGAAGGAAGGAAGGAAGATTGAGCCTTAAATGTCTTAAATAACATTCCTTTTTCATTAAATCATGTATCTTCTATAAATATATATCTTATGTTAGTCTTATTGGCTCTTTTCCATGCAAAAAGTGAAAATTTCGAATGTAAAGTGAAAAACTGTGGTTGATTCAGTTGTGTGGTAGATACATTTAGCATCTGAACATAATTATCCTTATCTCTGGTATTGTTTTGCAAGTCACGTCTTAAGATGCTGTATTCATCTGACAGATTTGCAAACAAATTATTGCAGCTTTACTTTTTTTTTTTTCTATAAGTAGCACTAAAAATTATTTTTAAAAACTTAGTGAATTCATTGTTAGTAAACTATTCCTCTGGCAATTTGTAACATTTTTAAAAAAACTGGTGTGGGTTTTTTCTTCTCCTTTTGTGGTTTGCTTAACAGGATCTTTTGGGGAAAGATATTTTAGAATTCTGCCATCCAGAAGATCAAAGCCATTTAAGAGAAAGTTTCCAGCAGGTAACGTCCTTTTTATTCATACAGTCTCTTTATAACCTTCATCCCAATGTGAAATCAGGCATAAGATAATAATAGCAGGCAAATATGTAATAGAGCATAAATAATTATTTTTAATGTAAAATAATTTTAGTTTGTTAATCTTGAGTTCATTAGTAACCCCACGCTTACTGCATCCAGTATAAAAAAATGTTGAGACTAGAAAGAACACAGAGAAGAGCAACTNTGGCTTCTTTAAAATAATCCATAGCCAAACCAAGCAATTTGCCACCAGGAGGTTTGTCAATACCTTTAAAAGAGGGGCAGATTAATTCACAGAAGAGAGGACTTTTAGTGATTTCCCACACCTTCAGTATGATTGGGAGAAGTTTGTTAGCTTCTTTAATATTCATGGTGGCCCAGAATGCTGGCCCAGATGACTCTTTTGCCTGATCCTTCAAGATTTTCTGCCTGGTTTTGTGTCTGATGTCATCTTCTCCCAGGAAAGGGACAAAAACAAAGGCATATTCCCAGTTTTCCTGTGAAATTCTCGTTTGTTTTCACTCTTGTGGGGTTTAAGGTGCTATATAAAAGTGGGATGCGGTGGCTCAGTGGCTAAGACGCTGAGCTTGTCGATCAGAAAGGCCAGCAGTTCGAATCCCTAGCGCCGCGTAATGGAGTGAACTCCTGTTACTTGTCCCAGCTTCTGCCAACCTAGCAGTTCGGAAGCAGGTAAAAATGCAAGTAGAAAAATAGGGACCAGCTTTGGTGGGAAGGTAACAGCGTTCCGTGCGCCTTCGGCGTTCAATTCATGCCACATGACCACGGAGACGTCTTCGGACAGCGCTGGCTCTTCAGCTTTGAAACGGAGATGAGCACCACCCCCTGGGGTTGGGAATGACTAGCACATATGTGCGAGGGGAACCTTTACCTTTACCTTATAAAAACACCCCTGATCAGAGTCTGTGTTTTTTTTCTCCTGTCATTTGTTTCCATCCCAAATTGTCAACTCCTGTAGAATGTTCTCTCCAAATTCTGCAGAATCTTTCTACCTAGAAGCCCCTCGAGATGAGTGAACGTGAGAATGCTTCTGAGGTCTTGTGTTTGTCTTCTGCCACTGTTCACTTGGTGTCTCCCTCCCACCTCAACCGCAGGCCACTTTAGCTGGACCCATCCCATTCAAGCAAGAACTTCATTACTGTTGCAAACTACCAAGCCAGCATGCTTACGGCCCAAGGAACAATAAGAGCAGCACAAAAAATGAAATATGTCTGTTGCAGAAAGCAAATTTGGGGAACAAGGACTTGTTTCTAACTAAATTGGGTGGAAATTTAGCCATCAAGTAAATTGTAATTTCCTTCTCTCTGCCTGTTGCAATTAGGTGCCGGTTCCAAGTATACAATCTAATGTTCACGAGGGGGGGAAAGCAGTGGAAAAGCCGGACACCATCTTCACCCAGGAAAGAGATCCAAGATTTGCAGAGATGTTTGCTGGCATAACTGCTTGTAAGTAAAATAAGTTCCCAAAGTTTCATTGTTAGTAGAAGTAAAGTTATTGTTTCTTTGGATTCTCAGTTGATATCCCATCAAGAGGCCCTAAACCCTTGCTCTGTTTCAGTGGAAAACACATAACAGGGAAAAGGAGACATTCAAACCCAAGTTGTATTAGCAATAGCAATAGCACTTAGACTTATATACCGCTTCCCAGTGGTTTACAACCCTCTCTAAGCTGTTTACAGAGTCAGCCTAGTGCCCCCAAGAATCTGGGTCCTCATTTTACCCACCTTGGAAGGATGGAAGGCTGTCATCCTCAAGCTGGTGAGAATCGAACTGCTGGTAGTTGGTAGCCTGCAATACTGCATTCTAACCACGGCCCCACTACAGCCCTTCCTTCCTTCCTTCCTTCCTTCCTTCCTTCCTTCCTTCCTTCCTTCCTTCCTTCCTTC